CCTCGTCAACCTCAAGTACTCGGTGGAGGAGGAGCAGCGGGCCGGCACGGTGATCGCCAACGTCGCCAAGGACGCCCGGGACGCCGGTTTTGTGCTGGACCCCCGTCAGCCCACCGCCTTCCGGGTGGTCTCAAACTCGGCCCCCCATCTGGTGGACATCAGCCCCGGGTCGGGGCTGCTGGTGACCAAGCAGAAGATCGACCGGGACCTGCTGTGCCGGCAGAGCCCCAAGTGCATCATCTCGCTGGAGGTGATGTCGAGCTCCATGGAGATCTGCGTGATCAAGCTGGAGATCAAGGATCTCAATGACAATGCGCCCAGTTTCCCCACTGACCAGATTGAGCTGGAGATCTCAGAGACGGCTAGCCCGGGCACCCGCGTGCCGCTGGAGAGTGCCTACGACCCAGACTCAGGCAGCTTTGGAGTGCAGAGCTATGAGATCACCCCCAATGACCTCTTTGGGCTGGAGACCAAGACACGGGGTGATGGGTCCCGATTTGCCGAGCTGGTGGTGGAGAAGAGCCTGGACCGTGAGACCCAGTCCCACTACAGCTATGTGATCACGGCGCTGGACGGTGGCGACCCTCCCAACTTCGGCACAGTGGAGCTCAGCATTCGCGTCATCGACTCCAATGACAACAACCCGCTCTTCGAGGAGCCGGCCTACACTGTCAGCGTGCCTGAAAACGCCCCGCCGGGCACACCAGTCATCCGCCTCAATGCCTCTGACCCGGACGAGGGCACCAACGGCCAGGTCCTCTACTCTTTCCACAGCTACGTCTCCGAGCGAGCCCGGGAGCTCTTCCAAATCGACCCCCAGAGCGGCCTCATCACAGTGAGTGGTGCCATTGACTATGAGGAGGGTCACGTCTACGAGCTGGATGTTCAGGCCAAGGACTTGGGGCCTAACTCCATCCCTGCCCATTGCAAAGTGACCGTCAGCATCCAGGATGCCAACGACAACCCGCCCCTCATCAACCTGCTCTCCGTTAACAGCGAGCTGGTGGAGGTGAGCGAGAACGCCCCACCGGGATACGTCATCGCCCTGGTGCGGGTCTCGGACCGTGACTCCGGGGCCAATGGGCGGGTGCAGTGCAAGCTCCTGGGCAACGTGCCTTTTCGGCTCCAGGAGTACGAGAGCTTCTCCACCATCCTGGTGGATGGGCGACTGGACCGGGAGCAGAGGGACCAGTACAACCTCACCATCCAGGCCAAGGACAATGGTGTCCCCTCCCTGCAGGCCACGAAGTCCTTCACCGTCAAGATCACCGATGAGAATGACAACCATCCCCACTTCTCCAAGCCCTATTACCAGGTCATTGTGCAGGAGAACAACACCCCGGGGGCCTACCTCCTCTCAGTCTCGGCCAGGGACCCTGACCTGGGCCTCAATGGCAGTGTCTCCTACCAGATCGTGCCCTCCCAAGTCAGGGACATGCCTGTCTTCACCTATGTCTCCATCAACCCCAACTCTGGAGATATCTATGCTTTGAGGTCTTTCAATCATGAACAGACGAAGGCCTTTGAGTTCAAGGTCTTGGCAAAAGATGGGGGTAATCCCTCTCTGCAGAGCAATGCCACCGTGAGAGTGATTGTCCTGGATGTCAATGACAACACCCCTGTGATCACGGCCCCGCCGCTGGTCAACGGGACCGCAGAGGTGTACATCCCCAGGAACGCGGGGGTTGGCTACTTGGTGACAGTGGTCAAGGCAGACGACTATGATGAGGGTGAAAATGGCAGACTTTCCTATGAAATGGTGGAAGGAGACAGAGGATTTTTTGAGATAGACCAGGTCAGTGGGGAGATAAGGACCACCAGAGCCTTTGGGGAGAACGCAAAGACAGCCTACGAGCTGATTGTGGTGGCTCATGACCATGGAAAAACATCTCTCTCGGCTTCTGCCTTGATTTTGATATACCTGTCTCCAGCCCTGGATGCCCAGGAGTCCATAGGATCTGTTAACCTCTCCCTGATTTTCATTATTGCCCTGGGGTCTATCGCAGCCATTCTTTTTGTCACCATGATCTTCGTGGCAGTCAAGTGCAAAAGGGATAACAAGGAAATCAGGACCTATAACTGCAGGTAAAGACATCTTTGTTTCTGTGCACCTGCTGGCTCTGCTTTGATTTTTGCCATCACAGTTACTTTTCCATTTGCTGATGTATACTTGCGGGGTGCGAGTGGGGGGTAGATTTGCTTTAGGAACAAAAGTGAGGTTCCCATTGCTCTAAGAAAATTTCCTGTGACGCTTTAAAAAATTGTTCTCTGGGAGGAGAGCAGAAATCCGTGCCGAGTAACAGATCGACTTAATTGTGCGGCTTGACAATCTGTTGCAGCATCCCTGATTTTACGCGCTCCGTCACAGGAAGGGGGGAGAACAGTTTTATACCGGCATGGCTGGTTCCCATGGGCAGTCCCCATCCCCAGTGCAGCTCCCTGGTGCTTTGCGAGGGGGGAAAGCCCCCCCAGCCCACTGCAGCATCCCCGCAGTAGATGGGGCGAGTGGCCGCGGTGGCATCCATAAGCCCTTGCTTCCTGTTCAAAAGAGCTATTGTGTGCCCGATGCGGCTCCCCCGCCCCGC